TTTTAAAATTAAATATTATTGATTACGCGCGGAGATTAAAAAATCATTTCATTTTTCTTAAATATACTCGATTGTAACCACATAAACATAAAGATCGTTATATCCAGTTTTTTCTTTTAATAAAAAGGGATATTTCTTAGTAGTGGAGGAACATGTTTTTTTTACGCGAATTTTTATCTCATATATTGAAGATGATGACAATGGTAACAGTCGTTAATTCGCTGCCGAAATCACTGCTATTGGGAGCAATCAGGAAGATCGGGGATTCGTTCTCTCCTGTAGCGGGACTTTTGACGTTTAATGGATCACTTAACTTTCCTTTGTGGATCGATTCCATAAGGCCCGACATAGAAATAAGACAAGTTGTAGTCGCTTTCCACTTTTAGGATCATTCTTCTCTCTGTCAGATATTAACTAGTGTGTCACTCGGCAGAGGAATTTTGATCTGGTCTAATCGTTAGGTCAGTTATCCTCCATTAAACGCGGCGATAACGCGATTATTTTAAGAAGTATATAAAGTTTATTTTATCCTGTTTTGCAATTGTTCACGGAACAAGATATACTTGATCGCGGAATTCGTATAAAATTGCGCATTTAAAAATAAATCGGCCATTAGATTCTATATAGATTTTATTATAATGTGCGTTCAATTCCTCACATACATTATAATTACAAATTATGAAATGCGCTCCGAATGTCGAAACATTTTTATTGTCGCAACATACTACAATTACCGTCAATTTATTTATTCATCGTGTACATTCGCGAAATTTAAACCGTGATTTATCTTCTGATTTAATCGTTGGGTAACATCGAAACTTTATCTATCTTTTCACGTCCCGTTCCGCGCGCCCCCCGCGCGGCGGACATTTTCTTTAAAAGATCTTTCTCTTTTAATTGAGAGAGACATAATCAAATTTATTGATGATTTTTTTTTGGTCGTTGTCAGATTATCAACTACGTTTAATTTAAAAATTCTAATAAATTTTATATTGTACGTATTCTGAACATTTTCGTGTAATATAATATAATAAAATATTTTTTCTATGTTCAATATATGTATATATAATGCAACAAAGTATGTATAAATATATATTTGTATATATTATGTATATTTTATGTATTTCCAATATGTATTATTTCATTATTATATATGTATAAACATTATGTATTTTTAAATATTAATCGTTGTTTATCACCTATATCTAAAAATTTCTAGTGGATTCTAATAATATAAAATTCGAATAAAAATTTTTCCTCCTCGATGGTATCTCCACCTTAACGAAGGCATTTGCCGGGTGAGGAGGTTTGAGTACTCTGATGAACCTGAGAGCTATACCGGTGATAACTTACAGCATTTTCGAATGAAATAGGTTTGATCGTTTCGAGATCGATTAATGACGTCATATACACCGTCTTGGATTATTAGGAGTATTTGAATTATTAGATTAATCAATGAAATACTTCGAGTAAGCGTTTGATGATTAATCAAGACAAAAGATCTCGTGCTTTGAAGCCAAAACAGCATAAAGGTAGGGTCACCCATGCCGGACAGGTCGAAGGGGAAGAGTCAGACTAAGAGAGATACCGTAATTATTAAGATTTTTTACTTCATTTTGCCTCTAGAATACGCTATTAAAATATTGTACAGAGGTTGTGAGACACTCCGTATATATGTATATATATTTATTTGTTATATTAATATTTTTAAATAAAATGGAAGTAAAAGAAACAGTAATCGAGAGAATAAAGAGAAAAAGGGGCTCCAAAATATTTTTGTGCTCCCCTCGGGACTTAGAAATATCTTAATATGTGATACGACATACAAAAAATCGATTTCTGAGAAACAGAAGTCTATTCTACTATAATATTCCTATAGTTATGTAATCTTTTATTTTTTACTTAAATTTAATTATTAGCAGCATTAATTAATTTTTTTACATTCATATGATCGCTCGGTAATAGCTATACTGTCAGATTTTCGCAAAACATTATACGTAAAATCGAGATATCTCTTGCAATATTGGTTGGAGCGTAAAAATTAAGAAAATGCAAAAAAATCTACTTATTTTAATATTTGAATGTGTTTTTATACGACATGCGAAAAATTATGATTTCCAAAACGCGGAGATCTATTCTATTATAATTATTATATTTTCTTATAGTTTTAATAACATTAATTAATTTTTTTTCACACACACGCGCACATATATACACACACACACCTATTTATAAAATTACTTAATATTAACTCTAGTTACCCGTTTTTTCAAAATCAATTAAATCAAAATTGTACACATATCTAGTATTTGAATTGTCAAATATGAAGCTCAGCCATAATAGGCTTTTATTGATATAAAGTAATGCACAGTTTCGAGAAAACGAATCAGCATCGCGGAAAAGAGGTAACAATACTTACGAGTATCGATTTAACATGTCTTTTTTAAGAGTGGATTACATATGTTTATGGCATATTCAAATATATATTTATAAAAATGTCATATTTGACAAAATCCGAAACATCGATTTATATTATTTAAAACTTTTATGTCTTGGAAATATCCTCTAAAAATTTTAAATTTTTATATCTCGAGAATATTCTTTCAAAATTTTTTTGAATAATAAGATATAATAATGTCTATGAACTAATAAGCACGCGCGCACGCACCTTCTCTCGTGTTCGTTTATTTTAATGTTATTCAATTTCTGCTATTAAACGCACTGTATCCTATAAAAAATATAATATATAATTGACTCGTTGTTTATTCCATTGTTTCAGCTTTTTACTGCTATTTCTTTAATACTATTTCTTTTTAGGAAGCTATTTTTGGTTAAATAAGTTAATGAGTTTCGATATGTGACATACATGTTGGTAAGCTTCCAAGTGTTTCACATGATAATTTAATTATAATGTGAATCGTTAAAAAGTTGTGAAATTTTATAAGATTGATTCATGTTATACAGCGTGACAAAATATTTGTTTTTAATATATATATAGATGTGTGTATATATATATATATATATATATATATATATATATATATAGGCTCCATATTATATATATTTATAACGTAAAAGCAGTAACAGGAAATGTCATGATGTTTAAAATAGAATCCAGAATATTTATTCACATGTCATGTCATTTTTTATCTTAGAGTGTAAACTACTGGGTTTAAGTCACTATAAATTTACATTATAAATTTACACATACACAGAAATCAATAGACTGCACTTTTATAATCTGATATGTATATATAGCTTTTTTATATTTTCTAAAATTTTTATAAAGGTTTCGCTGAAAATTAATTTTTCCGTTTTGTCAAATCGTATTCAATTTTTAAGAGCAAAGTAATAATGTTAAATTGATATTTTAAATTATTTATGAAATATCATTATATTGTGTCTAATTCGTGATATATGTATAATATTATAAGCTCTTTTTCAATTTCTCTTCTTTCCAACGTTTCAAGAATTCAAAGTCGATATTATTTTGATTTTTTTTCTTCCTTTTTTTCTTCCCTTTTTTCTTCTCATCCTTTTATTCTCAACATCGGAAATAAACGTAAACACGTTAAGCTTTTTAATAAAAGTTTTCTTTTCTCCACTAAAATTGTGTCTGTTAAATGAATTTTAAATTTAAAATTGCTACTACCATGTCTGTCAACATATATATGTATAAATACATCGTTTTTGTCATGTCGTGATGTTAAATAATGCAAATCAGTTTTTATAGTTATATATAGCAGATTTTCTTAAAAATCTTAATCAAATGTATTTATTTTAATGTACATTCGCATCGCAATTGTTTCTATTTTTACCGGCAAAATGTAAAGTGTAAGCTGTTCTTCGCAGGCAATTGCGTTTATTACAAAGAACACGTGCTACAAAGAAATGTGGAATAACAAGAGAAAAAAAAATGATGTGTTCTATCTTTGCTTCGGGAGGTTCTTTCATTCTCACTATCATCTGTGTCATCATGGATTTTCTAGCGTGCCGACAAACTTGATCCGATCGGGATTTAGCATCATTGTTTGTTGATTTGGTGGAGAGTATATGTCACTGTTAACATAACTTTATTAATAACGCATTTAATTATTAACACTTAAATACACATTTAATGACTAACCCATCTGAAAATTCACGTAAAATGTTAAAATATTTTTTACTTAATATATGTTGTAATGTGAGAAGATCATTTTTTATTTCAGGCTTTGTGGCGTTTCAGTTGTATTTTTTTTTTTTTTGGCACGCAAGTATCTATTTTATTAGTAGCATTTGTTTATTTATCTCTACGACATTAAAGATCGCGCACTATTAGAAGGGTACAGCTCGTCATCTGAGAGATTCAGAGAGCCGATATTATAATGACAACAAGCAATGGTTCGTGCACAAACATTTTTATAACGAAGCATAGTCTATCCGACTTTATATATTCGCGCATCATGACTGTTGGTTATCCAGTATACTCTCTCAAAGCAAATGGGGGAGGAAGAATGCGTGTAATTTTTTTAATTCACTGAAAATTTTAAAATAGAGAAAATTTATACATAAAAAAGAAATTGGGCAGAATTTTTCAATAATATTAACTTTATTTTAGAAGATATAAAAAAATTTTTTAGAAGATACGAAGAAAAACATAGAAAAATATATATTTTTAGTATTAAAGAAAATTATTATTCCATTAAATATCGTTATTATAATATCCGTTATTTTACAATAAGATTAAAAAATTAATAACAAAATGGTAAGTATTGTAAAAATTAATATAAAATAGTAAAATCAATATTATTATTAATTATTACGTTAACTATATTAATTAAATATTAATAATAAGTCATTAAAATATATTAATGTCTACATCCTATATAATATTAAATTTTATGTAGGATTTATTAACATATTTGCGTTTTAATATTTAATAGAGTTCTATATAAACAATATACATTATATTACATATATACTTTTGTATATATTTGTATATATGTATATATATGTGTATGTATGCATAATAAACATTACGTAAATGTAATCCATTTTTATATAAATATTAAAACTAAATTATATATATATAAAAATCAACTTAACATTAAAAATATTCACGATATAATTAGGAACAATTCAAAAAGTAATTGAGGACAATATATATATATATATAAATAATAAATAATTAGATAATACACATATCAAAAGATATTCCAAATGTTTATATCATTAGATATTATGACGACAATGGATATTGGCTTTACCAAATGATGAGTACTCTACAGTTTTAGTTGTTGTTGGGAACCTGTTGTAGTTGAGAGTAGTTGAACCTTTTGCAATTAATGGACAAGCTGATGTTGATATCTTTGAATAAACTTTAAAGAAATTTCATCTGACTGTTGAATTTATTGTCAGATTAACATATTCTCAACTTGCGTTCACGGTCGAATATAGATATAGCTTATCAATTTCTGTAAATTTAATTATTTAAAATAAATTTTAGTTTGTTATTTGTTATCAATCAATAATTTCGTAAATAATTGTTATAAAAAGAAGATGTGATAAATTTTCAAATTATTAGCATTATTATGTCGATACATGTAAAAGAGAAAGGAAGAGATACGCATACATTAATAAAATATAAGATATGTGATATATTCTCACGAAAAATAAATATCATAATAAAAATTTCAAAAATAAGTATAGAGTTTTTAAGTTTCATAAAATTTACCTCAATAAGTTGGTCCTGAGAGAGAGAGAGAGAGAGAGAGAGAGAGAGAGAGAGAGAGAATATGCATTATTAATGTGGATTTACCAACTCCAAATACTTTACTTTAAGAATATCATCCCGATATTTGTTTGCAGTTGTAATTGGACGTGTTGTAGTTGAACGTGTTGTAGTTGGACGTGTTGTAGTTGGATGCGTTGTAGTTGAACGCGTTGTAGTCGGACGCATTGTAGTTAAAAACGTTGTACTTAGACGTGTTGTAATTCGCCGTATTGTAATTGAATCTATCGTAATTAAGGACGATTGGGGGAATATAGTTTGATAATATTTAATCTGACTCTCGATCTCAAGCAAACGCGTTGTTATCTTGCGTTCAATATCCGAAACTAACTGCGTCATATTTTTCGCAAATTTATTTATCTAAAATAGATTATTAACATTTATTATTAATAAATAATTTTGTAATTAATCCATTATAAAAAGCAGATGCAATAATCTTTTGTTATTAGCAAAACTATATAAATGAATATTGAATTTAGATTAATAAGATTTACCATGTCAAGTTCATTCTTGGAATACACATTATTAATAATGACAATTAATGTTGCAATCGTACTGATGTTGCTATGAGAACAAAACAATATACATATATATACGTATAAATTTATAATTATTATATACATAATACATCTTCACGCGATTATAAGCAATAAATGTTTATAAAAAAAGGTGTTATTACCTGTTATTATCTGATATTATTAGTCTATTTTTTATTATTTCAAAATTCTCCAATATATCTTTAAGTATTATAGGATTCTTAGCATGCATGGCGAGAGTAGAAAAGAAAATATCACCAGTTAAAGCATGAATACGTTCTTTTTCTTGTCTTATTGTTTCAAAATCCATATTTTTATAGTTGATTACCAGCATCTCAAGTGTCGGTAAATTAAACTTCAGATAAGTAAGTATAATTTGCGGATCACCAGAGCAACTAAGATATTTCAACATTTCATAATCAAATTTCTTTTCATATATATTCAAGATCCATACACTGAACCATTTCTGATAGTTTACAGTCTTTAAACTATTACAAGATATCAATTTCTCCCACCCAGGTAAAAGTCTATAACATCCAGAAAAAAAATATTTTAGTTGTTTGAAAATCATTTATAGATATTTAGTACATACATACAGTGTCTCTGAAAAATAATTTATTAAACACGCGGACAAAATATAAAAGAAACGCCTATACAAAAACAATGATTAAACAGAACATACTTTTTAGTTTTAGGATCTGATAGATGCCATTCAAATTGTTTATTGGCCATCTTCAAGCACAAAACATTATTGATAAGACATCCCCATTTTGTGAGTTCTTGTTTTAAATATTTATTAAGATCTCCATTGGCGGGTTCCATTTGATCGTACATATCCTCGTCTATATCTTCAAACAAGGTTCCTATTATCATTTCTATTTTCTGCAATTTGATAAAAAAATATATTTTTCTATTTATTAGACGTTTTTAATATTACATTATTTACAAAGACAGATCGTAATATATAAACAAAAAAATAATAACTACATTCCTATTAACTAAACTATTTCAGTTGAAATATTGTGCATCTTTAATTTTATGCAAATTCAAAATCCCGACATGATAATTTACCATAGTTACGACTTAAATTCATTTTTAAGATACAAAAATTTATAAGAAAAAAAGTAAAGCAAAAGTTTACATTATATATGATTCGGTTTAAAGTAAAAGTCGTCAAATCTTATTAAGATTGTTAGAAGGTTATTAAAGGAGAGGATCGTTAAATTATATCAAGATCTTTAAAAAAATTTAGTTGCTCTTTATAGGTGGTTGCTTATTTAGAGATCATATCACATAGATTCCGAAAACAACGATAAAAATTACTGTGAAATTTGTTATATACATTATCAAAAAATATAATTAAAATAACGGTAATGGCGCTGTAAGTAATGCGTTACTTTTAAAACTTGAAGAAGGATCACTTCTCTTTAGATAATTAATAGGTTAGCGTATAATTAACTTATAATTAAAATTTTCTTTAACTATATATCTTAATTTCTAAGATTGTCAGAATTATGGTATGAAATCGTTACTTTATACGTATTGACCTAATATCTAACATAATTTTATTGATATATTTTATTATTGATAATAAGTCTTTACCTTGAGATGTTCATGATGAGTTGAAAATGCAAACACACTAGATATGCGTTCAAAAACTTTAATCATAGGATACCATGCTACATAATTCCTTTCCCGCGATAAATAGCTCGCGACTTCCCAGAATATGGAGAAATCAAGTTTCTTCTCTATCATAAGATGGAACGCATCATCGATGATTTGCGCTCGATTTATAACGTGTATATTTCTGTATTCTTCAAAATTTAGATAACGCGCAATCATTCGCCAGTTTTCAGTGTCATAATTGACGCGATAATATCCTATTATTTAACACATAAATTTTATCGATCATTTTTTCAATGTGTCAGAATAATTAGAAATTATAAATATTTTGAATTATATGTATCATTTTATTTTATTTTATTTTATGTACGCATATAGAATGTACTAGAAATTGGGAGAATATATATTTCTCAAATTCAAATTTTTTGTATATTATTACAAAAACATTTTATACCAATAATCAAATTAAAAAATAAAGCTTTGAAATATTATGGCGTACAAAAATGTATAAACTTAAACGATTTTAATTACAAAATTAATATTTATATGAAAAGTACATTGAATCTAAAATTTAACGACGATATTATAGAATGCTGTAGAAGAATATTATTATGTTTAGAGTATATAGTGTAGAAAATAATGTCACAATTCTTGTAGAAAAAATATAGGAATAAAAATATGTAATAAAACTCAATTTTTGATATAATAAAAAGATAGGGAGATATTAACTTTATCAGTTTATAGTTACCAGTTTGCAATATGTTGGCAATGAACCATTTATCTTTATTATCATAGTAGATTTCCACCTCCGGATTCGACTGCGTTAAACAATTAAAACTTTGCGATGTATTGACAAAATTGATGTTCGTTTCTTTAGTGTAGCTCACAGGTATAAAATATGGTTTCCGATCCAATTTGTCGTGAATCTCTTTCGATATTTTCACAAGATTATTAGAATAATCTCGTATCACGTTTACCACAGGACAATGCGTTTGCATAGTCCAAATATCCATTATCTGTTTTATGTTTAAATTATACAGTTTATTTGTTAATTTATGGTCTATCCCAGTCTGTATAAAACTCCATATACGTAGATCATCGGGAGTTGGTATATATATATATATCTTTTATAGATTTCTTTCATTACAAATTAAAATAAAATACATGTATACACAAATATCCAAATAAAATATTTTATTATAAATCGCAAATTATTAAAAATAACAGTTTCAATTTGTGATTGAAACATGATAAAAGTTTTATAGGTACATTATACATTCTTATTCTTAATATGTATGTTCTCTTTCTTGCATATATACTATGTAATTATATATATAACATATACATATATAACTACTTTAATACAATGTATTACTTACCGAATGTTGAAGTACGCGTTTAAAGCCATAAACAACGTATTATGCGGAAGTACACCATTCAACATGCGCCATATAGCGGCACCTATAAGGAAAGAATAAATATATAGATAGTATATATAACTATATTTATTTCAAATAAATTTATATATCACAATATTCATAAATTCGTGAATATAATTAATATTGCAAACAAGAATTAGTTTTAAACTTTAGAATTTCCCATTTTTTATTTTATAGCAAACTTTGATTAAAAGCAAAGAAATGCACAATTAAAACCCTTTAATCTCTTCTTTGATATTTTTGTTTAGCAATTTATGAACTTGTTTATTCATATATATTAATGTTTATATATACAATATATATGTACTTTTATTTATATATTTAAACACATAAAATTATATACCTATAATACGAGAAAAAGGAAAATGTGAATAAATTTTGGATATACTGATTGTGTTTCTTGCAAAAGAGTTCATAGCAAAATAATAGTTTAGTTGGAGAGCTTCATGTTGAGTTTGGACTATCAACAAATCTTTTATTCGAGGATCTGGAAAGGCCTGCAGACAAATTGATATGATCAATACGCTTTAAAAATACGTACGAATGCATGCAATTATTTGTTATTTCTAAATTAATTATGCTATTTTATATCATAAAATTGTAATATTTTTAATTTAAAGAGTAATATGTGTAACTATTTGACTTTAAAAAACAAGATTAAGATTATTTAACAATCAGTAGTTGAAAGTTATTTCTAAATAATAATATGGTGGATATTTTTTCTATCTGCTCAATTAAATTTTTTTTTAACAAAGTTTAGATATTGTAAAAAATTGAAAAAATCGAATTATGTATTAGCATTTCCTTTTTTTTCAAAGGATAAAACAAAATCTATTAAGAATATTTTATGTTGTCGCAATAAGAAAAAATATTATTTGTAATTGCATTAGAGCCAATTAGTGTTAGAAACGTAGACTAACCTTTTCGATGACATCTATCTCGAAAAATGTAATAAATCCTTCGTTCAATAAACGATAAGATCGACGATCACAAAATGAACTGAAGAGATTACCAATCCATTGGTGTATTATATCACGAACTACTGAGCGCGTTACTATAGTTTTATATGCAGCAGAATGTAATTCTTCGTTATAGATAATGTCTAGTTCACTAGAAATTATTCATAATCAAAATCTTTTAGAAGCCTACATAGTATTTGCATAATATTTATGTAAATTAAATATGTACAGATAATAGAGAAAGAAAATTCAAATATATTTACAAAGCACAATTTTAGTAAGCAGATGAATAGATTAGTTAAATTTGAACAAATGCATTTTTTGAACAAATGAATTTGAACAAATGAATTTTTTAAATTGTAACAAAAATAGGCTCAGAGTATTAACGATACTAAGGAAACTGGATAGTAAGAGCTGAGGCGTATTAATTAGTGCGCAAACTGTTTTATTGTTTAATTTCATTAAGAAGTAAGCGTCAAATTCGTCATATTTAATGCATTCTTATTATTAATAAAATTAAGCAACAAAAGAGTTTACGCTCTAATTATCGCTCCTCGGATTTTATTTGTCCTAATCTAATGAAATTTTTTAAAATATATTTAATGTTAAAAATAAAAATTTTTAAATATTAAAATTGAAATTATAATGATAAATACTGTTATAAATTTTTCTTTAATTAAGTTAATTCTAGACGTAGAAAAATGCATATCTTGATTTTTAAAATTTCGAAAGCTAAACACAATATTATGTTTTGATAGATAATGATTATGATTATTTTTTGAATATGTGTATTACTTGTATAAAACGAGTCCCCAAGTCTGCCTGATTCTGTTCTCTAAACTTGGAATAGAGACGTAATTCACTTTTGGAACTTTTCTCAAGATCTTGAAATTGTCTTTTAGATACTCAGTTACATTTCCAGCGAAATAATGCACGTGTATCATGTGAAGTATCAAATGCGGTCTACACCATGTGTCGACCATAGTATCAGTCTTATTAAGAATCTGATTGGATATTAGAATTGCAATGTCGTTCGTAGACATTGGAGGTGTCATCTGAAACACTGTACACATCGTGTAATTGTCCACAGATTTGTATTCTTGTATCGGCATATTAGATATAACTTTGTATTTTATATCATGTTCCACTGAAATGTTGAAGGTGGCACTTAATTTCGGCTCGTCCAAACATGGAAATAATTGTCGGGCTCTTCTCGGTTGGATTAGTGTTGCGAATATGAATCTATTACATTTTAATGATGGGCTTTAGATTTAACAATAAATTTTCGGTAATTGTTAGTATAGAAATACTAAAGATAATAATGTACCAATATTTTCCTTGGTGTATGTGTAAGTTTGCAATAAATCTATTGTCTCATTAGTCTTTATGCTAAATTTTAAATGCAGGGTATAAACCCCATATTTTAAATTTTGTTTAGGCACTTTATCGTTAAGATTAAGAGTAAATAATTCCTTAGTAATATCATAAAAAGAATTGTTCAGTTCATAGATCATTCCATCTTCTACCGATATTAACTTTATTTCAGTTATATCCATCGATAATGATGCATGTAAAGCTATGTTTTGTATTTCACGATCAATATAAATACTGGTATTGGATTCGCCTCTTATAGAATCTGACATTAGTTTTAGATTCAAGTTATAATGAAATGGTATTATATATTTTGACAAATAATAATTAAGCGCACTATCCCAATCTTCAATTTGCGCAATTTCATCGGTGGATAAAGCTATGGCCATGATATATAATAAACTGTTTAATAATAACAGTTTTAAAAACATCATGTCAATTTTTGTTTTAAATATCTGCAAAAACATTTCTTTGCTAAGAGAAAATAGTATAGAAAACACAGTTTGGGAACAAATTATAAAGAAAATAAGAAACTGTCCATTCTTGTTGGAGAAAAATAAATTATATTTAAAAAAATGCTATACTCTCTGTATATTTATATTGTTAATAATTTTCACGAGAAATTTTTACATATATATCAAATTATATTCTTTTGTCACACAATGTATGTTAATTTTAATTCAATAAAATTCTGTGTGTTCTGTATTAATTTAATTGTTTCAGTCATAGCATACAATACAGTTTATTCTCTAACTTTATAGTATATTGATGTAGAGATAATTATTTCAAACTTTCCGTAATTATTTTATTGAAAAAGATTTTAAAATATATAGTTATTTCGATTAAATATAATATTGCAATAAAGAAATACGTATTAATTTTTTATTGTGATTTGTATTATGATTTTCTGATTAGTATTTGCTTTGTGCAAATAATCTCTCAGAACATTCATAAGGGATATTCCGTTCAGTTAAATAGTAATTGACTTATTTGTGTAATTAAATATAGTATCTATATTTTTATAAAATTATATTACTATAGCTTTCTATAGACATTATAGATTGATGCTAATGTCTTGTTTAATTTGGATTTTGACGATCGAGTGCATTGTCTTTACTCCAATATAGCCAAATCAATGCCAGATTAATTTATACTTTGTATTGTGGAGCACACACAGCAATCAGTTTTATTAGATAGATTCAGTTTAAAAATACAAAAATACACAAAATATAATTTATATGTTAGAATTATAAATAATAATAAAATAATATAAAAAACTGATAAATAAAATATAAGAAAAGTAACTTAAAATACATATATCGGCTATCTAATAAATTATAAATTGCGTAAACGGCGAAATAATTCTACTTGTGATAAAAATAATAAATATGAGAAATTAATTCTTGTCGTTTTCAAAACAAATAAATTTAAAGGTTAAGATAGTTTATCTATACATGACTATACAACAAAGCTATATGTAAAAAGTTAAATAATTTTAAACGGAGCAATTAAATATCGACTTTGAAGATTCAAAGCTAAAAAGAATGCAGAATATAAATCAGAAATGTGCAAAGTATTTACATTTAACTTTATCAGTTATAGTTGTAGCATATAAGTTAAATTGTATACATTTTAATGTCTTAAAATTGAAGAATCAATAAATAATTTTTATTTTTTGCAATTATTTTTTTAAGATTATTAAAATTATGAATGTTTCTTCGTTTTATATTCTTTTAATGCAATTATATATTTCTGTGCAATGTATATTATGACATTTTATAAAAAAACAAGATCTATTGCAGCATAAATCTTCTTTAAAAAATCTTGAATTTAGAAATATATTTTTAAATGCAAATACAAACATGTATAAATAATGTGTAAAGTGATCTCTTTTAACAAATAAGCTTCGTTCGTGATAGTTTGACGTTTATTTACCAACATGCTATTATCAAAATTTATTTGCTACTTTTAATCTAAGTCATGTATACACGCAAGAAATAGATAACAAAAGAGCAACTGTTACGAAATTGAATTTATTTCAAAATGTATTTCATGAGCAAATTAAACTACATGTTAAGAAAAAACACAATAAAACTTGTCATTAGTATTTATCATTAATATACACATTTATTATATTAATATACACATTTTTTACGAAAAAAAATTGACATCCATTGATTGTCCATTTTTATATTTATTACATATTTAACTTAACGTAACGTCAGAAAACAATGACTCTAGACTTCCATTAGATAAAAAGATGTTACAATTCACGCTTGAATGTTTTCATGTTTATTATAATACGCAAAGAATAATATAGTATTTGAAATAAAAAGAAACATGTTAATTTTTCTTGAAAATTAAACACAGAATATATTTTTGAAAAAAATGTTGTTATAACATGTTCTTTATATATTTGTACATGCATATATTTAAAAAGAAATATCTAAATATTCTGTATTTGATTTACCCATAATTACCTTTCTTAAATCAGCCACGAGCCGTTACTTTTAGTTAAAAGTGTATACGTTCAATCGTGATCTTTTCACTTCAAAGAATCATCGAAGACTGACAATGTTTTCAGTATAATCAAGTACATAATGTCATGTTCGTAAATATCTTCTTAAGGTTATACGTAGTCAAGTGTGTTATTGGACTTTACTAAATAATATAATAAAATTCATAGTTCGACGGTTCTCGACGGAAATACACATACACACACATTTTAGCTTTTATAATAAATATTTCCAAATTATTTTTTCAAAAAGTTTATCATTTAAAAAATTTGATGGATTGACTAGGAAATTATGTTTTATGCAAGAAAAAATATATTTTCTACTTTTTTTCCATTTTGAAAAAGAATTATTTTTTTGCCTTAATTTGTTAGATTTTGTATAAAATAAATAGGTTTCAGATCTTTTTCATTTTTAATGGATTTTTTTTATATATTTCTTTTCAAATAAAATACTTTTTGTTTAAACTAATTTAATTGAAAAAAGGAAATATTTTTCGGCCACATGCTTTAACAAAAAAGCAAGCATCTCATTTTTCGAGTCACTTTAAACAAATATTATAGAATTTGGAGTTATAATTATAATTTTAAATATATATCTATATCCATTAAATATGTATTTATATCCATTATATATT